ATGTGTCCATGAAGGTCCAGAGAATGCTATGCACTGTGTGCTGTTTTAAAGTTGAGAGGATATTTTGCATGGTTTTTATGTCGTTTTGTGTTTTAGAGTAGAGGAGCTAATTGAAGTTACAGTTGGGGAACGTACCAAATGAAGTCTGGATCAGATGAGAGGAGAGGGGGGTGAAGGACTCGAACAAATCACCCTGTTCACCAAACTGGCATTGTGATTGGGAGCAGTGTGGGAACTGTGTTCTGATGGCTGTGCCGCACTAGATCTCTATCTGTCCATTGCTTGCACATCTCCTCCTACTGCGAGTGAGTTCGGCTTATTTCTATGCCCATTCAATTTATGTAGCAGATTTGCAGGCTAAAATGATGCTGAATGGACAGAATCAGTGTGATGGGGTTCAGTGCAATTGAAATCACTGTGAAATATGGAAGCAATTATATATGATAGTTTTTGCTCAGGTGAATTTACATGATTTAAAGTGTTGACAGAGGTGATGTTACTGTACAAATGCAGTTCACCACAAAATTACAATTCTGGTGTCATTTACACATCATGTCATTGCAAACCCATATGACTTAAGTTCTTTGAAAAACAAAAGATTATGTTTTTGTTGGATGGAGTTAGGCCTGTCACGATAACAACTGTTGTTGTGCGATATATTGCCCCAGAAATAATTGCGATAAGCTATATTAATGTAATTTTAAAGACCTTTTTATGCCACTGAATATATAATCATAATGTAACAGCATAATAATGCAAGAAGTCACTTCCAAATGACAACAAACTTTTAATTTTTAAGAATATTTAGATCATGGAAATTAAGCATCAAAATATTAGATACCTTAAAAAGCTTGAATAAATAGTAAATAAACATTTTCTAACAAAAAGTGCAAAGTAACAAGTAGAAAAAAAGAAAAATGCACAAAGAACTTGTATGGAGATTTTTCAATCTGCAGATTTTTCCCTACCTTCTTTTCTCTGTAAATTAAGGGTGCACACTATTGCTGAAAAACACAATCACTACTCAGCAGTCAGATGTCTGTATGCACAAAGGCACAAATCCCTAAACAAGGCCGTATCTTCAGATGAAACTTTTTTTGTAGAAGAATTTTTTTTAATTTGAACTAGCACCTCATGACTACACAACATTATGCACGAGAAGCTGCAAAAGACACTGGCGCAAGTGGAATGCAAAAAACACGGTGACATTAATTTTTAAGTAAATATAATGGGAGATATATTGCATCACCAAAAATTATTGAGGTCATGTACATATATTGCGCGATAAGTCGATATATTGATTATTGCGACAGGCCTAGATGGAGTTTTCAAGCTTCGAAGAACATTATTTTACAATAATAATAATAATAAAATACATATTTTATTTTATTGATTTGCATTTTTTTAATATATTTTCATTCTACTGCATTTTATTTGTATTGCATTTTATTGAATTGCATGGCATTTTTTTTCTCAACCTATCATTGCCCTCTGATTGTAAGGGTATGTTTTGGTTGATTTGAATGTTAACAACAAAGGATGTTGATGTAAGAACATGGCCTGCTTGGGTAAATTATGTGGAGTGATTTTTTTTGTTGTTGTTGTATATTTGTAGTTCTATTAGAGTTTGGATGTGCATTTCTGTGTTTCCTAGAGAAGGGCAAGGGTATCATTTGTGGTTTTAGGTTCAATAATAAGCAGATCACAGAAATAGCTCCATGATCTTCAGCTGTGGCCAGACGAGCTTCTGTGTTTGTGTGTCCAGTCTGTGTGTGTTTGTTGGCTGGGCCGGAGCAGTTGGGCAGGTAGTGACCGGATAAGCCTGTGGTCACTCCAGCTCTGTTCCAGACTCTGAGTCCCGGGGCCCTCATCTCAAGCAGGGCATGGAAACCACCTAAAATTCATAGGCTTTGTAAATTTCTGGAATATTTAAGGGCTGGTTCTGTGGGCCACAGTTTTAGCAGGTTCTGGGAATGGGATGGGAGCTGTAAATGTGTGTGCATGAAGATGGTAGACCCCATGTTGCTTCTGGTTACAACTTAATTCCATGAGACATGAGACATTAAATACATTTTTATATTATGCAAATGTATTTGTTTAATATATCCTATTATAGAAGAAAGAAAATGTATGTAATTTGTTTGCAATATATGTATGGTTACAGCTACGGGGTAATGGTTAATACATGTCACAAAGTTTTATGAAATAAACGCATAGCAACAAAAATTAATAATTTATTGATAACAAATAGCAATTCTTCCACCAAGCCAAGAAATGTAGTTCTATATCAGTGTTTTGCAGAATGGTTGCAGACTATTTTATTACGGCTTCAAACATATGTTATATAATAATAATAATAATAATAATAATATTAATAATAAAGCTTTCTATTTGTACACAAACAATTTTAGTAATTATTTATATTTCGAATAAAAAAAATCGATATTGTTTTGTAAAAGATAATCATATTCAAGTGTTATATATTAAATAAATGTATAGATTTAAGAGAGACTAATCTTTGACCTGTCATCTAGCTCTAACCTACACCTACACTCTTAAAAATAAAGGTGCTTCAAAAGGTTCTTCAAGCGATGCCATAGAAGAACCATTTTTGGTTCCACAAAGAGCCATTCAGTCAAAGGTTCTTTAAAGAACCATCTCTTCCTTACCTTTTTATAATCTGAAGAACCTTCTTTCGCCACAAAGAACCTTTTGTGAAACAGAAAGGTTCTTCAGATGTTAAAGGTTCTTTATGGAACCATTTAGACAAAAAGGTTCTTCTATGGCATCGTGAAGCACCTTTATTTTTAAGAGTGTAGTATTAAATTGCATCATTAAAATAAATTTCTTTGGCTGTTGTGGCATGCCATGTCATGTGTTCTTGAAAACACTGTCACAATTCCAGCAATCCCTACAATTTACACACACGCAATGCAACAGGCAGACAATCTACAGTAATCTAGGCAGATTGATGCTGATTATTGAGCATGTAACAGCCCTCTGGCCTGTTTTCCTGGTGTGTGATCATAGCTGTGCATAAGCTGAGCCATTGATAATAACCGCTGAAGTATAGTAGTGATAACGACCTCCATATGTTACACGTGCATTAACTCTCTTTGAATTCTGCTCCACATCTATTTGACTTATGTTTGCTCAACTTGAGGCATAATGGTTCATACAAAGGTCTGTTTGAGGTGAACTTATCAATGGCTCTTTGTTTCAAGTCGTTCTGTGTAAAAATCATGAGGGAGCTCGGGGGGAAAGAGATCTGATTGGTGTTTCTCTTCAAACCCACGTTCATTCCTTTCTTTTGCGACTTCTGGCATGTGCCGAGAGTCTGGGCTTGGCCCGCGCAGCTTTGTTTTCGTTCTCTGTGTTACTTTCCCCTTCTCCTCTCCTCTGTCCTGCCTCTGGTCTGCTCCTCATCAGGGCTGGATTTGCCACTGGCTTCCCAATTAGAAAGTTCCACGTTATGTAGGGCACATTTAATGATTACCGTGGCAAACTTTCCAGATGACTTTTGTCTCCCAGGCTTGTTTCTCTTGTTTGCATTTTCTGCTAAATAATGACTGAAACATACCTTGAGTGAGTTTCTATGTTACAAAGCTGCCTTTAGGGCAGTCAGGATTTCATATGTTTATGTATGTACAGAGGTGGGGGGAATATCGATACATTTGTATGGCTATATTATATTGAGACATGGATTCCAAGTATTGATCTTTAATCAGGATTTGAATTTTGGTTTGGGACTGCAGATATTGCAGATAGTTTTTTCTCATTCCACGTATAATAGATCAGAAATTTCTAGGGTTGCAAAACGGTGGAAAATTTCCAGTAAATTTCGGAACCATTCTAGAAATTTTGGAAACTTTCCAGGATTTTTTTTCTTTTTTATATTCCAGGGATTTTTTTTGAAAGTTTCCGGAAATTTACTGGAAATTTTCCACCCCTTTGCAACCCTGGAAATTTTCCACCTCTTTGCAACCCTAGAAATTTCCCAGATATTGATCAGAAATTTATAATTTTCTCACTCCGCTAGAATGATAAAAATAATAAAAAATCATTTGAAATTGAAATCATTTCAATCATTGAAATCATTTGACGAATAGCTTGAGGGAATACAATTTTAATATTTACTGTATTTATTAAAATAATTTAAAATATTTTAGTATTTATTAAAAAATATCAGTGTAAAAATCAAACTGCCTTGCAATATTGTGTGGGCTATTGCACAATGAAAATAACTACACAGCACCATCTAGCATCCCAATTTAAATATTTTGAAGGATTTTTTAATGACAAGGTTCACAATAATAGCCTATATCACAATTAATGTCACTATACTCTCTTTCTCACACTCTCTTTCTCTGTAGACCTTTATTTTTTTTTTTAATCAGTCAAACAAAATAAATGGGCACCTGATTCAGGGTTTTGTCAGCAGTCACTCATGTTAAGCCGGGGGTTTTTTTGTTTGTTTTTTGAGTGGCTTAAATGTTTCTGGGCTTTTTCAGCTGTGTGAAGAGAAGCCCTGATAAAAGCAGCACAAAATAACTTTCTCCTGGGGACTGTGCCTCTGCTCTGGTTTTTGGCTCGAGTTTCTAAAAGCTGTCTTAAATCTGGATGAGCAGCCCACATGCTCACACGCGCAGGACATCGTCCCCCTCCGTGACTTGACCTGCTTGTAGTGCTGCGGAAAGAATAAAAATGGGTGGATTTGTATTGCTAGCAAAAGACTGCAAAGTAAACAGAGCTGACAATGCTCTCCTGCTGGGCGTACGGATCATTTAACCTGTGTAAACATCATAAAGAGTTTTCAAAGAAGATGGTTAGACTGTTGAAGGATGAGCGTCCAACAAAACATTGATCACTTTTACAGTATGTGGGAGTTGGATTCGATCATTTTATGGTGTTATTATTCTTATGTCATCAGAACCATCCAGTACAGGATGGAGGTCAATTGGATTGCTCTACTCTGATTCTCATATTTGTCTCTCTGTTAGGAACTGGTGTCCGCAGACCGTGACTAAGACAGTGACCTGTCAGGTGCAGAATGGCACCACTCTCCAGAGGGTCTATCAGACCTGCAGGTGGCCTCAGGGATGCAATGGAGGAAGGTGAGTTTATTATCAACACACACTTACTCAGTGTTTTATATCATTTTAGGTAGCTCCCTTTGCAGCCTGTGCAGTAAATGTAATGGCATTTTCCTGTTCAGTGGTCATGTGCTAATAGGACACGGTTCCAAAAACATAACTAAAACTATTAAGGGCCCTATCATACACCCGGCGCAATGTGGCGCCAGGCACGACACAAGTGTTTTTTGCTAGTTTCAACCCGACGCAGTTGTCATTTTCACGTCCTGTGCCACGTTGTTTAAATAGCAAATGCATTTGCACCCATGGGTGTGCTGGTCTGAAAACGAGGTGTGCTCAGGCACATTTCTGGCGTGTTGCTATTTTGAGGCAACTGAAATAGACTGCGCCATTGCATTGACGAACAAAAACCTGGTCTAAAGTCAATGGCGCAGTAGTTTTTTGTTATTTAAAGAGCGCGTTAGTATAGGCGGGTCCACAGCGCATGTACACTCTGCTTATTACACACACAGGGACGCACAGCAGCACACAAACATGCAAAATATAAAAAATTTAAGGATTGCAATGTAAAAGATTATTATTGTGTAGGCTACATAAATATAAAAATGCCTACATGTCATAATGGATAGTCATTGCATGTATCAGGCTACCTATTTGCTCGCGCACATTCATCTCTGGAGACGTGTTCTCTTTGTGCTTGCAAATTCCACCGTGTAAATCGCAAATCCGCAATGGCACGAGCACAACTGGCTCTTAAAGGGAATGGGAGATGAGACTCTGATTGGTTTATTGCACGTTATGCCCAAAACACACCCATTACTCATTAAGAGAATAGGGACAACCCTTTTAGACCATAGACCATTTTTCCCGTCGTTAAACTAGCAAAAGTGGATTTGGACACGCCCTAAGTCCACCTGCGCCGTGCGCTTTAGACCATGCACTTAGATCGTTGAAATAGGGCCCTAAATGTTGCATGTGTAAAGTTATAATCTCATAATTCCATTTTGCAGTTCTTGATAGGATCTTTTAAACCCATATTTTTTTGCATAATATATATGCATAAAATGCTATAAGTATATGCTACCATTCAAAAGTCTTCGAAAAAAATCTCTATAGTGGGATTTTTACTGTAAAAAAATAAAAACAAACTTTGAAACAGACTTTTATTGTTAAAAGATATATAATAAAAGACTTTTATTTGTGTGTGTTGCAGCTATCGCACTGTGGTCCGGCCATCCTATAAAGTCGTGTACCGCACCATCACCTCTCTAGAATGGAAATGTTGTCCTGGATACAGCGGACCTCAGTGTGAGGAAGGTAAGACTGACTGGTGACGTTAGTTGCATCCCAAAACAGAACTAATTTATGAAGAAGGAATCTCTGTATTGTGCTTGTGTTTTTGTCAGTGTTGGGAAATCTACCAAATTTAAAAACTTATAAAGTAGTCAAACTACAGTCAAGCTGCTCTTTTGAAAAAAAAAAAGGTTTTCAGAAGGTTAGATTATAAAATTGACTATCAGATTATGAAACAATTTTAGTCTTTTGTTTTTTTGGCTTTCTGGCCCAAAACTATATGAATCTTAATTTGGGTGACAGCATTTAACTTATACCGAATAAAACACATACCAAACTAATAGAAACATTCCAATTTGAAAGCAGCATTTGACTAAATCTGACTAAATATTTTAATATCTATTATTATTTAAACATGAAATGTTGCATAGGGACTGTGTATTTTTTTAATAGGTTTATTAAAATAAATTGCCTGACAGAACGAAAAATTAATCTGACTTCCCAATGCTACTTGAGAGAGAATATATTTCCTCTTTTACTTGGCTGTGTGCACGACACTGTGACAAAAAGCATCTATGTAGCATTTCATCATGCTACTCGTTGGAAAATATTGCTGGAAAAAGATACACTGTTTTGGAGACGACTGAACTGCTGTCACATGGCAAAAAAAACAAACACTTTGTTGCGTCGATACTCCTAGTTGATGTTCCCCAGCACGCTCATAGTGCAGAACTAGACATGATCTAGGAATGGGTAATGATACACAAGTGTTTGGGGTCTACGAGGTAGCCATATTTGTTATTTAATGTTTATACAGGCTCACACAAGGAGACCACCGCACAACTAATGTCCTGCCCTGGCCACAGTTCATGTCTCACTTTGACTTTGACTTCTCGTTCGCTCCACTCTCTCTGTTTGTAAATCATGTCTCACTTTCAGGAGACCAAATAGTGGAGAAGACAAAAGAAGAGAAACAGGATGGATGGCTATTGTGAGACGGCGAAAGCATGCGTGTGTGTGATTAATGTGAGCGCGTGTCTCAGCTGTGTTTGTGTGCTGTTTCTGGCTGCTTTGCTCTGTGACTGTGTGTGTGTTTGGCTGCATTCTCTGAGTGTCAGCCAGAGCCTCATTGTGAGTCGTGCTGGGAGTAACTGTGAGGACCAGCCAGCAGCCATGAGAGTCTCCTATCCTCTCTCAAATGAACCAGGTCTTGTGTGATCTGGCCAAAATTGGCCTTTCTAAGCTGTTGTTTGAACCAGATGTACCCACTAACCCACTAGTAGTTTTTAAGTTGGGTTTGTACACTTTTAAGTACCGCTAAATTATTTAATGTGGCAGGCATCGCTAGGGTGGCAAGTCTTTATTTGACTGAACTTTAATTTACTTTTATAGACAGGTTTGGCTTTAATGTGTCTTGTAAATTGCTTTGAGGGATCTTAATGCTGTACTGTGTCTGTCATGTGGTTGTGTGTGTGTGTGTGTGCGTATGCTAAAATCTCAAGTAGTAACTGTATGCTAACTTACTTGTCTGTGAGGCAAAGTGGTGTTTCTTTAGCCTACAGCCAAAGGCTTTGTCCATCTGGAGCTCTTTTTCTTCTCTAGGTAATATCAGGAACATGTACACTCATTATTTTAATACATTTTCAGAAGTTTAGTTCACTCAAAAATGACTCTAGCATCATTTACTCACTCTCATGTTGCTCCATGTATGATTTATGGTTTTTGCTTTGGAAAATAAAAAGACATGTGTTGCACAGTGTCCAAGCTAAAGCCAATTTGGTTCCAATTCACAATATTTCAGTTAGACTTTATTTAATGGTTTGATTTAAATTAATTTGTTCATTTCATAACTTAAATTTAATTTTATTCAGATTCATTTAGGTACATTTTTCTGTTATAATATCTATTTTGCTTGCATATAAAAAACCTCTCAGCCAATCCTGTGAAATATACAAATATTGTTTTATATTCTTTTTTATGTTGTTAACAGACTCTATCCTTGAAAGCAATGCTGAATTTATGTTTATTCAGTGACTGCTCTTACACCTGTAATCTTAAATTGAAAGTCTTAAGAGATTTTGGTTAAACTATTTCTGCTTTCAGATTGATAAAAAAAATACAACACTGACCATTTAGTAGTGCTATTTATCTCATAGATGCACTCTATACAAGTAACTGTGTGAACTGAGTTGATCTGGTTAGTGAATCGGTTTGATCCGAGAGGGCAAATCCGAACTTGATTTATAGTTCCTTATTTTTGAAATTAGTTTACTTTTATCCAAAGATGAAACAGCACAGACAACCCACACCCACACTGCCAACCGAAATCTAATCGGTTCTCTTTTCACACAATTGCATACCCCAAAGGCAGCAGACATCCATGAAATGAGAGATAAAGTGGACGAATTAAGTTAAAGCTGTTCATCATAAGAGAGCGATGATGAAATGGAGAGAGGATACCGCCTTAAGTGGTACACTGTGAGGCCTGTGAACATTAATGTCTTATCGGTACCATGTGAGTCAAACTCTGATCACAGACAGCCCTGAGTGGAACTGACAGCTCCGTTCTTTCTCTTTCTGTGTCTTTACAGTGGGCTTCAGCACCCTCAAGACATGCTCATGCCACTGATGCAATACACTGTAGCAAGGAACAGAATCTAAAAAGCATGTTGTGTGCAATGCATGAACATTTATTAGTGTCTGGTATTTCAGACCGTGGAGAATGAGCTTTATTCTCTTATATATGGTGAGATGTACTGTCCAGACAGCCCCCACATCATCTTGTTTTATAACACTGTCTGTCTCTGTCTCTGTTCGTGTCTACACTGGCTCAAGGTCATTTTCATGCACACAGTATGGGTTGTAGTTTGAAATGTAAAGTGTAATGGCATCTCAGCGCAGTGAATCTGTGTTGATGTAGGATCAGTTACTTGTATTCTGATGTGTGGAATGAGGAAAGAGAAATATGCTGCTTCGGTCAAACTATCTTTCTTACACATCATCTCCACTTTAAAGCAGAGCTATTCATGTAAGCCTAACAGAACAACTCCTTAGTGCAACAAAAACTACTATCTGCAGATAGCAGTTCTGTGATACTGTATAATATTTAATTGGTGTGTAAAGCATCAGCGTTATAGCATTCTTTTTTTATTCTTTTTTTGTCATGAAAAACATATATAGCAGAAAATTCTGGCAAAATACAAACCAAAAAAAAGAAGATATGGTAGTGCTCTGTTTGATCTGCAGTTTATTTTCCTTTGGGATATTAATTATACAGGCCTGCTTTAAAGAGTTGATTGTGGATTAGAGATACCAAAGATTTCTCTTGTTTTCATTCAGTTTCGGCCCAAACACTTCTTTGCTCTCACACTTGTAATCTCTTGTTCTTTGCTTATTAGTTCTCCCTCTCTCACCGGCGTCATCTGAACTAGTAAAAACATTGCATCACCGATAAGACACAAAAACATATTTGAAGTAAATGTCAAGCTTTTTCATAAAGATCAGTGTCCCACCCTTGTTTACACATTCTCACACACACACACACACACACACACACACACACACACACACTGTACACAGACCTTTGAAGCTGTATTAGTGAGGACCACTTCAAATGCCCAGTGCTGTAGTGCATCCTGAAAACTTTGAACTGTATATACACTACCATTTCACACCAATGTTTTTGAAAGATGCCTCTTATGCTCACCAAGGCTGCATTGAAATTTAAAAGTTATATATTTTAATATATTTTAAAATGCAATTTATTCCTGTGATGGCAAAACTGAATTTTTAGGAGCCAACACTCCAGTCTTCAATCTCACATGATCCATCAGAAAACATTGGTGTTCAATGTTGAAAACGGTTGTGCTGCTGCTTAATATTTTTTCTGGAAATAGTGATACATTTTTTCAGGAATCTGTAATTACAAAGTTCAACAGAACAGCATTTATTTGAAGTCAAATTATTTTGTAACATTATAAAAGTCTTTACAATTTAATATGTTCTTGCTGAATACAAATATTAATTTCTTTAAAAAAAATCTAAGTGACCCCTAAACATTTGAATATTAAAACACACACACACTGAAAATCTAGATATGTAGCTATTTAGTAAACACCTCAGTATGGGGTTTAGTAACCACCTCAGCGTTGTATGAGCAGTTGTGATATAGTTTTACTGTCTGTTTTTAGATACAGTGCTCTGTGTAAATATTTCAGATGAGGCAGTTATTGTAAGTGCTCACAGATCGAAGGGCTCACAGGATTCAGTCACAGACATCCAACAACTGTATCCAACTGTAAACCACTTGCTACTTTTCTGCTCCATTACCCCTGAAATTTTTTCGTTTCTTTTTACTCTCTCATCTGATAGTCTCTTTGGATAAATGTTTCTGTTAAATAACACTGAATTGTAGTTGTAAGCAAGTCTTAATGGATATCTCCTGTTATGTATGTCTCATCTGTAAAGAATTTATTGGAATTGCAAGCAAAAAAAAACTAACCTTGTTCATTAAAAACCCAAAGATTAAAATGCACTGAACAAATTACATCATGTATTATCCTGTAAAAATTAAATACTGTCTATCAAGACTTTGTCAACATATTGTTCAGCCATATCTGTTTTCAGCTCAGTTTATTATTTCAACAGAGCTCCACACATTATGTTGTTGATAAATGTAATGACCTAACACTTGTTAAATCATTATTTCCCCCCTCAGTGTCTCAGTGTTTTTAGAAGAAGATTTCTCCACAGACCTTTAGTGTATTATTTCAATAAATGATGAGAATTAATTCTGAGATGTTTATATTTATGCACATTAACTCTTCACCCTACTCAAGTGTGTGTGTGTGCAAGTAAAAGAAACTGACTGACAGTGATGGAGAGGAAGTAAACAGCTTGTGTGTTTGTCGTGTGGGAGGACGTGTTGAATTAGCATGCTTGTCTCAGAAGTGCGAAGGGCCCCGTATCAAACTCCGCCCCTCGGTCAAAGTGAGGCTGTGTGCTTTTGATGCACTAATTACCCG